AAGCCCTGACCACGGCAAAGAAGGCGGATGTTCGGCTCAGGAAGTTGCAAGAGGAGCAACAGCGGCGTGGAGCGCAGTGGGACGCCTACGTGAAGGACTCCAAGGCAAAGTTCCAGGCTCAGAGGCGGCAGTACGAACAGGATCTGGAACGCATCCAGAGCGACATGGACACCGTGGCTGCAGCAGGGAAGCAGGCTTCAGAAGATGTGAAGGACCTCATCCAGAATGGCGTGCGTGCCATGGAAGATGTGGAGGTGGAGGATCCTACATGGGAGGAGCTGATTGCTGGCACGGACGAAGCGCAGACCTCTGGCTTCCTGAAAGAGGCCATGAGGGTCGCCACTGCTTTTCAAGCAGGACCGGAGGATGGCCGTCGCCGGGGCATGATCTCGAGGGAGGATGCTGCGCGCCTGCTGGCGGCTACCTTGCAACATCTCCCCCCTGCCCCCGGCCTGGTCTCAGATGCGCTGGTCACGAGCACAGCCGGTGGTTTGCCCGAAGCTGGCATCAATGTCTACCCGACTCCGTTGGTGACCCAAGCTGCACCGCCTTTTGTTTCGTCTCCATCCAGCCGAGCGACGGATCTGGGAGCCAGTCCTGGGCTCGCCCACCCGAAGATGAGCCCTGCTGGAAGACGTGCTGTCCAAAGGCACCCCGTGAAGGGAACCCCGCTCCAGCCGGTTCATACTGCGGGGCCTGGCACTATGAGCGAGAGATTGGATGCAAGAAGGCGTGCCCTCCAGCCTTTTGGTGCTTTGCCCGTTCCTGCTTCCGGGGAAGCGGGGGCATGCTCAGAGGCCAAGACCGGCGACCTGCACGCGAATGTTGCTGCTGCCGCAGGAGATCCGACGGGACTCCGGCGACCGGAACACGCCCTTTTCGAGGACGACGACTCGGATACGGACTTGGCCGCTGCCCCCCCGGATCCTGGAAAGACTGCTCTGGATGGAATGGGGTGATCTTCGTCTTCGATGATCCCTGGCGCAGGATCTCCCGTGCCTCCTTCCCTGATGGAGATATTTCCCGAACACTGGCTGATGTTGTCATGCTCGGGAGACTTTCTCCGGATGGCAGGAATGGCTCCGGACATTATGTGCCATTGGATCATCTCTCTGCGGAGGAGTGCCTAGCCGATAGTTTCCTAGATGTACATAGCTTTTTAGCTTGTACAGTCCTTTCTCCATGCCTTAACGGTGTTCTGTGGCTTGGATTTGGCTCGGTGCCATCGTCTCCTTGTTTTCAGCAGGACATTGGGCAGACCCCCTGTCTTTGGGATCCCTGTTCCAGTGACTCTTGCGTCTTCTCCTCGCGGGAGCTGCATACTCATTGGGTTCTTGAGGTTTGCAGCTCCCCTCTGCCACTTCTGCTGCGCACTCGCGGCCGTATTGTTTTTCCTGTGGCGCGCTCCGAGTGCCAAAAAGACACATCGGTGGCTCTGGGGTGTCTACCGGAGCGCTGCCTAGAGGGACGCCCTTTGTTTGAGGCCCGTGTTGAGAGATGGCTTTGCCTTCTCGCTTTTTCGGTGGTCCCTTTCTTCTGCACCCTGCAAGTAGCTCTTTTGGTGCTGCTTTCGGCGCTTGTCTTGCGCCCTTTGCGCGCACGGTTTTCGCCTCTGGGAGCTTTGTGTGGTTTACCTCTTTGTGAGGATCGTTTGGATGTGCTCTCAGTTTGGAGTCTGGGTACGCCTTCCCGATGTATCCTGGATTGGTCGCCTGGGCATGGTCGCCGAAGAGAAACTCATGCTTCCGCTGCGCGCATTCGGTGTCTTCCCCTTTTATCTGCGGCATGGTGGCTGGCGTTCCTTGTGATCCCGCAACCTGTGTGTGCTTCCCCTCTGCTTAATCCTGTGTGGGTTCTGGCGCCCGCTTCGGCGTGGGCGATGGCACGACCCCCCCGACAGGATGACCCGCCCGGCAGAGAGGTCGGCGGTCCCAGGCCTCACGATATTTCCCCCGACGAGTTGACAACCTTCGTTGGTACTTGTGAAGCCCGAAGCCCTTTTGAGGTTACTGAGAGAGGCCGATGCTTGCGTGTGTCGTCGGCTCCGGTGCCGTGGCCGGAGCCTCCTGCTCCGGACACTCCAGATGGCGAATGGCTAGGTGTCTACCTGTTTACCCCTCACTTTAAACCGCTTGCCCTGGCGGTGCAGCCCCGCGAGCGTACTGTGAGGTCGGTCTCGGACCTACTGGTTGCCGAGGCCCCAGGAGTTCCGGCTGGGCTCTACGATGCCATCGCTGCCTTGTCGCCTCAGAGGTTCTCGGATTACGCTTCCTTTATCCGGTACCCTAGTGTTATTAGGCAGTCCGGGGAGGTTGGTTTTGCAGCGGTAGTGTGCGACCTAACAAGGGCAGGAGGCCGTTATTTTGCCACTACTTTGCCCCGGACCATCTCTGCACAATCCCTTGCGGCTTTCTTGACGCCGCTGACATGGCAGGATGACAGGCCTATCCAGATTTTTGTCGGATGCACTGTGGGGTCTTGGTCTCGTTGTGACACCATTCCCTTGAATGATGGCGACGTTATTACGGTGTTGTTCGATCCTGCCGCTATCATTGCGCGGCACCGAATCGAGGCACTCTTCCTGCCTTCTGCTGTTTGGGGCCCCATGTCCCACTTCTTTGCGCCGGAAGTTGCCGAAGCTACATGTGTGCATCACCTTGACCAACGCTACACGTTTAGGGAGCACTACCATTACGGTCAGAACATCGTTCACTATATCTCGGATCGCCTACGCCTAGCCCCTGAGGCTACTGTGATGTGCAGTTTTCCGATTGGTGACTTAGACGTGCATGGTGATCTGTGCACCTTTTTGGTTGCGGTGAAAGATGTTCCCTCACCCTTGGTGACTGGTGTTCCTCGGACGGAGGCTAGGGATCTTTTCGTGTTATTGGACCTTAGGCCCCTTGGCCACCGTCCTCGCACCATGTGCCTTACGCAGCCCGTCCTGCATGTTCCCACTCTTGCTGCAGATCTGGGTTTGATCCTTCCGCAGGCCATGCGTATTGGAGTCTCTGGCGGTAACCGACAAGGGGATGACGTGCATTTTGAGGGTAACTCCACCCTCCTTCTTTATGCTGAGCTTGCGCCTTCTCCTGAGCAGGAGGAGATAGACAGTCTTGATGGGGCTTCGCCCGAGATCAGTCCTTTGGACTCTGATCCCAGCTTCTTAGCTGAAAGCGTTATTTCGCCCCAGGCTGGTGAAGTTGAGGGCGAACGCACAGGTGCTGAGGTCTTTGTCATTCCTCCCCCTGCCACCTCAGTTGCTACGATCCAAGCATTTGTCTACGTGCCTGACATTTTGCCTGATCTAGTTCCAGTTGAGGCTGTTCTTCCGGTTTCTGTGAGCACGTTTAGTCTTGCTCTGCAGGCCGCGCGGCTTCCTGAGCAAAGATGTTGCTTCCCTGAGCTGATTCCGGTTTCCCCACAGCCACTTGTGGCGCAGGCCTTATATGTTGCTGTGCCCCGGTGGCTGATCAGTGGTGTGATCGTTTTGGTGGACTGTCGGCGGATTGATCAGTGCATTTTCGCTGTGCAGACTGACCATGTCATGGCTCGGGAGTCAATTCTTCTTGCGGCAGGGCTGCCAGCGGATGCGCACGTACATGTGCATGTACATGGGCTTCTGCAGCCTTTGGCACTACATCAGCGGATCACACTTATCTCTGGTGTTTGTGTCAATATTGTCCCTCGGTGCGAGGAGATGCCTATGTGTTATGACCTTTCCTCTAGGCTCCTCTCTCCTGAAGGTTGGGACCCTGCGGCGCCCCCTCCTGGTCCAAGGCTATACCCAGGCAGCCACATGCGGATTTTGACCGATGCTTGGCCGTTCACCTTTGAGGTCAAGCCAGGCAGACGTGCTGCCTTCAAGGCTGATGTGGCGTCTGTTGCGGGGGCCGCTGAACACTTGCTTACTTTCAAGTCGCTTCGGCCTCGTATTGGGGATGGCTTCTTCTTTGGGATTTGGACCTCTGATGTAATTGTTGCGACCCAGCAGCTTTCCAGGGTCCCATTCCCCCCAGCACGTCGGCCGGACGGACGCTTTGTCCTTGTCCTTGATTGCAGGCGTATCTTGCAAGGGATTCGCTGGCAGCTATGCCCTGACCGCTTTATCAGTGTTGATGAAGTTGCCGCCCCCTTTCGGGAAGTTTGCCCTCCCCGACACTCCGTCTCTGTCAGTGGTGCCCCTGTTTTCTCCACTGAAGAGGGAGTCTTCTTTGAGATCGAGTCGGGTCAGGTCCTGGCTGTCGAGTTTATCGAAGCAGCAAGTGACTCAGCGCCGGAGCCTCCTGTCGATTCTCCTTTCGGACGTCGCTTCTCGAGCAATGACGATCATAGCCCTGATACAGGGGGGGGCTGTTGACCCGGGTCTCCCTGTTGCTCGCGCAGAGACTAGGCCTCCCCGCACTAGAAGTCGTTCACCGTGTGCGACCTCCGGAGCTCGGGGTTCGGCATATCTCGCTATTTCCTCTGGGGCCTTTTCCCTGCTTGATCTGGTTCGTTTCCCATTTAAGGGTCGTAGTACCATGTGGAGTCCTGTTTCTTTCTCGGGCGCCTTTGCTGATGGCACGCAGGACTTTACCTCTGTTCTCCCCTTTCTTAATTGGGAGCCAACTGCTTTCAAGCGGGGTGCTCTCGCTCTCGATAAGGTCCCTTGCAACCCGCATGCCTCTCTAGGGCAGATCTTTGGTGCTCTCTGCAGAGGAGATGCCTGCAGTTCGGGGCTCGACCGTGTGCCTTGCATGGTGCTCTGTCATTTGCTTGCTTCTGGCGACTGTAAACTTGCATTTGCAGCAATGGCTGTAGTCACTGCTTTCTTGGCGCGCTTCGGAGTCCCATCTGCCTGTGGGGGTGCCTGTTGGGAGTTCCTCATTCGAGAATGCAAGTATATATGTGAACCACAGGGCAGTACGCCCTCTGCGAGGCGGCATCTTCGGGACCTTCGAGGCATCACAGGTGCTTTAGGCGGACCCTGGCTTCCTAGGCTCCCGGTCTTCCTGCAGGAGTTTTTGGACCCAGCCGATGTATTTGCTGCAGATTCCTCGTCCTCTCAGGAGGATGTCGTTCGGTGGGTTAGCTGCGTTATCCTTAAGCATGATTACACGGCTGAAAATCTCACTGTTGCGATCGGCCTTCCAGCAACAGAAGGGGAGGCTATTGATGCGGTTCAGGCTGCTAGGGACCCTAACATGCGGGAGTTGTTTCCTTCCCTGGTTCCGGTGCTTCCTCAGCCCTATGAGGGTACGGCGGTATTCTTGGCCGCCCCTCCGTGGTACACTGGTTACCAACGTGTGTGCCTGGACACCACGCGATTTGATCGACGTCTATTCACTGCCTTTGCGCCTGCCTATGCCTCCAGGGCAGATCTGCTCTTCTTGGCAAACTTGCACAGTGTGATTGAGCCGGATGTATGGGTAGGTGTTGATCCTACTTTGCTTGTAGGGGACTTGCAGGTTCATATGTTCCCTGGCATTTTGGTGTGGTTTATGCCGTCTGGCATAGCGCCGCCTTCCTCTACTACTCTGGGGCGGCTCCTGACTGAACCGGATGGATGGAGCACAGAGTCGGTGGTCCCAGCTGCCTCCTTTGATGGAGCTTATTGTCTTGTCTCTCATGGGCAAGGGCGTCTATACATCACTGACTACGCTGCCCCCACCCACTATCGACGGAACATCGCCTTGACTACAGGCATACCGCTACAGAATCTCCGATTGTTTGCTGCACAACCGCGTCCTTACGATGTTGCGATCCAAGGGGTCCCCTGTCGTACCGTTCTTGCGGCCGGTGAACACCGGGAGGAAGTGCAGCAACCGCCTTGGCATCTTGTGATCTTGGACTGCCGTCCGATAGAAGACGGTTACCGTGCACTAAGGGCCTATAATCGGGTGATTGATGTCCAGAGTCTGCTGGACGACTTTCAACAAGACACCCCTTTTGGTTGGTGTGTCTGTTTGAGCGGAGGGCTCCCTCAGATTGGGGAACTCGAGACCTTGCCGGGACAACTCTTATCCCTGCGGTATGTGCCTCGCACTGCGGCAGTTGGAGCCTCTTCACCTGAGGGTGCGCCCCTCACTGCTGGATCTGGTGAAGCCCCTGCGCCTGTTCCTGGATCTCACTCTCCCACTGGTCGTGATCAAGGGGAGCCGTCGGACGATGGAGAGGTCAGTGTGCGCGATTTGCCGGAGGCTGATGGTAATGTTCGACCAGTCGAGGTTACTGCATTGGTGCTATCGCCTGATTATGCACAGGAAGAGGTGCGATTTGTTGCTGATTTTCCCCTGGCTCAGGATGAGCTTCTCAGACAGGTTACTGCGGCACGGGATCCTGATGCCTGCCGCCGGTTTCCCGTCTTAATTCCTGCTCCGGTTCAGCCGCCGTTTGCATTTGTCTGCATTTTGGCAGTCCCTGACTGGGCTTTTGCCGGAGTTCCTATCGTTATCTCATGTGCCGAGCCTCCCTTTCGTATCTTTGCGGCGGTGGTCCCGTCGGCTATCAATACGGACGGGGTTCTCCGTCTCGCGGGGGTGCAGGCCGAAGCAAGAGTGCAGGTATTTGTCGGGGACGTCCCATGGGCCGCTGCACCTGATGTTACCATCACAGTAAGGCCTGGGGACTTGGTCTCCATCGTACCGGTTGGTGATGTCGACGTCCCGCCGCTACACCTTGCTCAGATGTTGCATGATGCCTCTGGCTGGCACGATGACTCAGCTACCCCAGGTCCGTTCGGAGAGGCCATTTGGCTGCTTACGGATCGGACACATCGCCTCTTTCGGCCTGACCGACAAGGTCGTCGACCTCTCCGGGCTGTTGTCGGGGAGCTGATGCAGATTCCACCCCCAGCTTTGATGTTTATGCCTGCGGACCCTCCTATCCGCAACCATGCCAGGAGTGGTATCGTGGCAAGACAGGTCTTTCTTTCAGTGAGGCTACACAATCGCAATGACGTTCCGTTCATCTTAGATGCGAGACCAGTCCTTCTTTTTGTGGACTGGAATGTAGCGGTCGACGGACGAGTTGATGTGGCTGCTGTGTGTTCGAGACATCTCAGCCGCTGTCCCCCAGGTTTCTGTGTGCGCCTCACCGGCGGGCATGCTCCCAGAGGTTATGAGAACCACTTCCGCCAGGTGCATGCTGGACAGGTCCTTACCTTAGAATATGTCCCCCGGTGGACCGAGCGGACTCCGCGCTACGATGGCCGGGGTCCAGGGCCTGACGACGATCCCGACGCACCCGACTCCGACGAGGACAGAGATGCTGGGAGTAACGATCAAGATGCGACTTGTAGCACTGCTGCGCCGTCATCTCTTCCCGCAGCTGGCTCTGATAGCCTTTCTTTAACTCATGCCGCTGGGTATGGGACGGCATCTAACTTAGGGACTTGGGGGTGTTTAGGAGGTCGAGTAGTCATGTGGGGAGCAGGCTTTTTAGCAAGTGCCTATGCAGAAGGCGGCCTGCTCCTTACCTCTGTCCTCCTTCCTTGCATCCTCGGCCTATACGTGAGGCGGAGCAGATTTGGTGTCAGAGTGGATTATGATTGGAGCCGTTTGCTCGTTGTCTGCCGTGCTGCACCAAGTCCCCGTAGCCCTTCCAACTGCCCTGCAAGCACAAAGTCTGTGCCCTGTGGCCTTGTGCTCTCCTGCTGTAACGGTTGGATTCTTGGCTTCGTGTGCCTCGCCATGTGCTTTTGCCATGCTGATAGTGTCCAGATTTCCGGCCCTGTCCACAGCGTGCGTCCTGCGACGCCTGAGGCACTGCCAGATGCGACATATGTAGGGCGGTCCGTGCTGATTCCCCCTGCGATCGAGATTCCGCCTGCTGCCGCTGTGGACCCTAAACCTGTGATCGATGTGATTCCGGGTTCTGCTGCTGGATGCCTTCCTTCTGGACACAGGCCTGTCCCTACCCCGTGTCGGAATACTATATCCCCTCCAGGGTTCTACGCGGATCTCTCTCTCCGCACATTGCTCGAAGAAAGTGCTGCTAGGACTGACTGTCAGGCCTTCTTTCTAGCCCGCACTCTTCTTGAGGAGCTTTTCGACTATTTCGTTGAGGTACCTATGCGCAATGGGGACAGGAGAGCCTCAGTGCTATCTCTTGTGGACCTTATACCCGAGGGGATGGGTAACGCTGCCGTTGCTACCAGCCCGCAAGCGCCTGATTGCTTTGATCTCACTGGCCAGCAATGTCTGCTGCCAGGTGACCCTCTTTGTATCCGTCGGTTGTTTGAGAAGGTCCCTTTTGGAGACATCTTGCCCGCTCCTGGCGGTCTCTGCAACCCATCGCGATTCTCTGAGTGGATCCTTGATGGATGTGTCGGTCGTTGCCCTGGGCCTAAAGAGGCACTAGTTCTCACTTCCGACGGCTCTTTTCTGCCCGCCGACTCCTCTGCTGGATGGGGTATCTCCTTGAGTTTCATTGAACGTGGTGCTTCCCCTGACTCGGGACAGTTTGGGGGATGTCTTTACGGTTCGTTGGCCCGCTTTCGCAGCTTTCTTGGCTCCTCATTGCCAGATCCGTATGATGCCGAGGTCGCAGGCCTGCTATGGTGTGCAGCCTTGGCTCTCAAGCTACCCCTAGCCTGCCCCGTCGTTTTTCGTGCTGATAACATCTCTGCGTTACAGGGTGTTGCAGGAGCCTCCCAGATGAGGCAGTCCCCGCTTTGTGTCGCGGCGCGAAGCCTGCATGCTGCAGTGAGCATCCTTTATGCTGGCTCTGTCTCCTATGCACACGTTGCTGGTCACGCTGGTGATCCTGCGAATGAGCTTTCGGATGCATTGGCCTTTGCGGGTGCTTCCAGAACCGATCTGCCGTGTGCCTATGACTGGCCTGTCGAGCACTTTCTTTCGGATCAGGCTATTGCTGCACAGTGGGTGCCTCATACCTGTCTGTCTCTTTTACGTCCTGATGAAGTTCCGTGTCTCAAAGAGCAGGTTATGACATGGCCTAGGGAACCTGGTGCATGCGACTTTGGGCCCGAATTTGCGTTGCGCCCCTTCTTGCGAGCGTTCCCTCAGGCGCCGGCGCCTGGGCCGAGCGAGGGTGTTGGATCCTCTTCCCTGGTTTTTCGGGCTGCCACCTACAATGCCCTGTCGTTGCTGGATGGTGCTCGTGCGGGCCAAATGGGCCTTCACGGTGCTGTGGGTCGGCCGACCCTTTTGCAGCGCTCCCTTGCTGAAGCTGGCGTCCATATGGCTGGCCTCCAAGAATGCCGTACTCCGGCCGGGCGTTCTAAGTGTGGAGATTTCACCCGTTTCTCCTCTGGATGTGATGATGCCTCCTGCTTTGGCGTTGAGCTTTGGATAAGTGACCAGGGGCCCTGCCCGGCCTCTTCCTGTGTCGTTTTGCATGCTGACCCCACCCGCTTGATTGCTGGATTGTCCCTCAGTGACACGACTATTCGGGTCTTGGTTGGGCATGCGCCACATCGCAGTCACACTGCGGCTTTTCGCTCCGACTGGTGGAGCGCTACCACTCGGCTATGTCAGTCCTTTTCGAGTGGGCTACAATGGCTCCTCATGCTTGATGCCAACGCTCGCCTTGGCAGCCGGGTCACCTCGTCAGTCGGCAGCCATCAGGCCGACGAGGAGGATATGTCTGGCGATCTATTCCAGACCCTACTGTCCAACCTTAATGTCTGGCTTCCCTCTACTTTCTTCGACAGCATGTGGGGCGAGGGAGGTACCCTGCTCCAGAAGCGGAGCGGTGCCTTTGACCGCTCGGACTATGTTGGCGTGCCCGCGGATTGGAGGGATTGTGATTGCCGTGCCTGGACTGAGCCCCGGGTCACGTCAGGCCATGCCTGCGTTGACCATATTGCGGCTATTGTGCAGACTGTGCTTTGCTTTCCTCGTCGCCATGTGCGGCCGCGTGCTAAGCGTATTGATGCCGCAGCGCTTTCCAAACCAGAAAATTCGGCACGGATCGCCGGCATCATTCAAACTGCCCCACGCCCGGGCTGGCGAGTAGACTCTAGCGAGCATGCTGCTATTGTTGTTGAGCATCTCTACCAAGGGCTTCTTGAGTGTTTTCCCTTGGAGAAGCGACGGCTGCATGCTAGGTTCCTTTCTGAATCTACGTCCACTTTGCATCAAACGGTCTCTTCCCTCCGTCATGCTATCCGCACTCAAAAGAGTGCTCTGCGGTATGCATATCTTAGATGTGCCCTTGCGGCTTGGCGTGGTCTTGCTGTTGACTTCACTGACGCCTTCTCTGGCCGATGGCTATGGATGATGTTTGTTCGGTTTGGCCGAAACTGTCTCCTTTTGCGCCGGTTAGGTCGGAAGCTCAGGCAGGCGTGTCGCGATGACAAGGCGGACTATCTTTCCCGCTTGTCTTCCGAAATCGCTGATGCCCCGTGTCGAGAGTTGCATACTGCTGTCCAGCGTGTACTCCGTCCTCGAAAGTACCGCAAGGCTTCAAATGATCCTCTCCCGACTCTCAGGCGTGCCAATGGTACCACATGTGTGTCAGAGGCCGAGATTACCGATGCCTGGCGGGATCATTTCAGTACCCTGGAGGGAGGCAGCCAGATTGCTGCCCGCGACCTTGTTGAGAAATGTCGGGATGCTGTCGTTACATCCGGCGACTTTGACCCGCTCAACGCTGCGAGTGTGCCGTCCTGGACTTCCCTTGAGGCGGCCTTCCGGCATTCAGCCCCTCGCAAAGCGGCCGGTCCTGACCTCCTCCCCCCGGGCATCTGTAGGCATTTCAGTGCTTCTATGACTGAGTTGTTTTGGCCCCTTCTTCTCAAGACCGTTTGTCGTGTCAGTGAACCGATCGGCTTTAAAGGGGGGATCTTATACCACATCGATAAAGGTAAGGCCGGATGTCGTGGGACTTGTGACGCCCATCGGGGTATCTTGGCCCAATCCTGCCTGGCCAAGACCTTCCATCGATCCTTACGTGGCTTGGTCGTCAAGCACTGGAACATGCATTCGCTACCGATGCAGCTTGGTGGCAAGTCCGGCTGTAGCTCTGTGTTCGGACACTTGTGCTCCCGGTCTATCCTCAGTTTCGCGCGTTCGCAAACTTTGTCCGCTGGCCTCCTTTTTGTTGACCTTGCTTCGGCGTACTACGCCGTCATCAGGGAGACGATCCTTGGAGGTGGCCTCGCTGACAAGCCTCTTGCTGAAATCGCGGGTGCCCTTGGGCTCACTGATGAGGACCTGCAGGTCTTACACCACTATGTTGCTAGGGAGCCTATTCTCCAGCAGCAGTCAGCGGACCCTCTGCTGACAGACCTTGCCCGGCAGTTGCATCAGCAAACCTGGTTTGTGTTAGCGGAGGATTCTCACATTGTTGAGACTATGCGGGGTACCCGCCCTGGCGGTACCCTCGCCGACGCCCTTTTCAACGTTCTCTTTGAGCGCGTGTTGGCTCGTAGGGCTTCTCCTGCTCTTTCTGAGTCCTTTCCGCTCGTCCCGTGGGACGGTGTGCGGACCCCCTTTCCGGTTGATCTGGCTGATGCGCCGCGAATGCGCATTACTGATATCGTGTATGCGGATGACTTATGCACCCCAGTTGTATGTGCCCATCCGGCGCAGCTACGCCAAACCATTTCCGCTGTCACGGCGGACACTATGGATGTTCTTGCTCCACATGCTCTGCGTGCGAACCTCGGTCCTGCCAAGACTGCGGCTGTTGTTGCGCCTGTGGGTGCCGGATCCCGCCAGGCGAGGCACGAAATGTTTGTTACTCTGCGTGGGCGGGCCCCAGTTTGGCCTGAGAGCAAGGGGGTCCTGTGGTTGGACCTAGTTCCCCGATATCGGCATCTGGGTTCTTTGGTGTCGTATGACGGACGGATGGGTCCCGAGGTGCGTCACCGGCTTGCTCTGGCGGCCTCTTCCTTCCGGGAGGGTCGCCGAAAGCTATTTGCCTGCCAGCAGATCCCTATTGCCCGGCGTGCCGCCTTGCTGCGCAGTCATGTTCTTTCAGTCCTGCTAGCTGGTGCGGGCAGTTGGCCTATACTGCAGAAGCAGGACTGGTCGGCTTTTTCCGGTGGGGTTCTTGGTATGTATAGGCAATTGCTTGGGCTCAGGGCAACCGGCGCTTGGAATCTGACCACTCACCAGCTCCTTGCGCGTGTGGGACTGCCTTCTCCTGCAGCACTCCTTAATGCTGAGCGACTCAGGTTTCTTGGTCAATTGATCCGGAGTGCTCCCGATCAGGTATGGGCCCTTCTGGCGTGGAATGTTCCCTATCGGGACGGGCTCCGTTGCGCTGGTGCTTGGTTTCATTCTCTTATGTATAACACCTGTTGTTTGGGGCCCATTGAGCAGGATTGGCCTTCCTGGTCGCGACTTCTCGGTGACCAGCCCGGGAAGTGGAAAGGCCTCCTCAAGCGAGCCGAGGCATGTGATGTTGAGATTGCCCGTCTCCGGGCATCTTTCGACTCGGCAGTAAGGGCTTTATGGGTACCTGAACAGCCGACTCTCACCTCGCCTCTTGCTGGCATGGAGCATGGATGTCTTATCTGTGGCCTCGCTTTCGCTAGCCGCCAGCAATGGGGAGCTCATGCCCAAAAGGTTCACGGGTACCGTAACTTGGCCGCCAAGCTCGCTATTGGCCGTACGTGTCGTGCTTGTCACAGCGTCTATGCTACGGCATCCCGCTTGAAGACGCACTTGCTCTACTCTGCTAGATGTCGTAAGTTCCTCGAGACGCATGCGTCTGATCTCCCCGATCCCGACCTCTCTAAGGCCGGCCATGAGCAAATGCCAGCTTTCCGATGCCGCACCAGTGAGAGCTTACCGCCGGCGGGACAGGAGCTTTCCTCGGAACTCCTTACGGCCCTGCAGGCGGCATCGCTTGCAACGGACCAGGATATCTACGATGTGGTTGCGTCCGTGATTTCCCCGCTTCCGGTGCTTCGCCGCACCCTCCTATTTTGGCAAAGCACTTTGCCCCCGGGTGGAGTGGCCGACGCTGCGGCCGATGTTGCTCTTGTGCTATTCCCTGAGCATGTCTGCTCTCGAGTGTGCGGGAAGCTGCCTGATGCTGCCCCAGGCCCTGCATTTGCTCCCCTTCTTGTGGTGCCTGTTTTGGCTGCCCCTGACGCCTCTTTGCCCGTCCTTTGGGTTGGTGCTTTGGATCACGATTGGATTACTGCATGGGGGTTGGACGGACATCTGTGCCAACGGGTTGAGCCCTGCGAGCTCCCTGTTTGCTACTGTGTATGTGCCGGCCTATGTGTGCGTCTTTCGCCTCCCCCTTTCGGTGACCCGTGCTTTCTTGATCCGGTGTCCAAGTCCCTCCGCCTCTTACGGCGACATTCTGACTGGATCCAGCACTTTCTTTCGGTTCTGAGGTGTTGCTTGGGTACCGCCTATGTTGGGACGCCGGTCTCCCTGCGCGTCCCTTTCTGCTTTGGGCAGTTTGAGCCCCTGTCGACATGGCTACAACAGGTAGCGTGTGTCGCAGGTGAGGCTTCTCCCTCCTGTTTCACTGTTGAATTCAATGCTATGGACACGTCGTTCTGACCTTTCGCCCTCCCAAGCAAAAAATATATATATATATAT